GGCTCCCTGTTAACTCATACTCTCCGTTCTGTAGAATCTCTTCATTCCCTGTCTGGGAAGGTGGGCGATGCAAGCCAGACTACAGTGTAGCTATTCGGAGTGTGAAATGAGACCGCACGAAACGAAATGGCCAGAAATTGATGGAGCGAGTCTACGAACTGTTGCCTTTGGAATTCTTCCACTTTGGATTTTGCCAAAGAGCCACACCTTGTCCGAAGACTTCTACATGACATTTGGTAGTAGCGCTTGACGACGAAGTTGTAAAATACTCCAAGTCACAACCAACCAGCTATAGCCATCAGGAGGTTGCAAAATAACCAAATTTCTTGTTTTTTGGGCCCACTTTTACAATAAAGAAAAACAGGCCAGCCTGTACGATACGGTATCACACTGTGGGCGGGCCGCCCAAGTTGAATCGAATATGAGTCCAGCACTGAGGCTTAGTTCTGGCTACTGTACTACTTTGCAAATACCATCCATGGAAACATCAAACCTGGAGCCATACATGTCCTTCCAGGGTCCCATGCTTCAGAAACTCTAGAGTTGCATCCCACGAAGCCTACCGTAGTCCTGGCCATTTACCGGCTTCCGTAGATAACGTCCCTACCGATATGCATACATGTACTTTGAAAACCCTCTGTTGCATGGTAGATTAGTTTGGTGTTCTAGCTAGGATAGCCTATAGAGACAGTGAAGCTAAAATGACATGATTTTAGATAAACGGAGCTGGCTCAAACCATTCATCTTTTCGTCTGCGTAACAGTTGACTGAGCGACGCGACTCTCACCGTTGAAACCGAAAATAGCTTAACGGTGAGAGATGCACCTTCAACTCTAGTGTTAAGAACATTCAAACGGTCACAAAGACATCCTCTTCCTCCAAACGCCAAAACGAGCATCCGCTCAACAGGTCATCACTGATCATTCGACAACGACGTACTAGCATCATCACGTCCATTCCCACTTCCTCCCCATGCATATACCCTCTACCCAAGTAACCATCAACAGTTAGTTGATCATCATAATATAACAAAGCATCAACACGTCAAGAGGATTGCACACTGAGTGACTCGGCTCATGGCTCATTGATCGGTTGGATTGAGGAGAAATGGCGCACTCGACGTTGAAGAGCTGCTTGAAGCAACAGGGAGTATCGTCACGTCCCAAACGGAATCTTCAGTGGACTCAGGAGCTGGTGGCTTCTTGGGTCTACCCGTCTCGTGGAGATGACATCTTGTGGATGGATCCCGAAGAGTTCTTTGACCTTAAGAAAGCCTCTCGTTTATTTGCCAAGCAATGGCGCTTGAACGGCTTCACTGTCCTGCTAAAGGACACATACGAGCACCCTCGATCAGATGCCCAACGTGTCCTCAATGCCTTTGTTCAGTTGGAAGGTAATGACTGTGGCCGTGGCATGGAACGCCGAGGGTCCAAGCAGCACGGAGAAGAGCGAACTTACCTCAAAAAACGTGCTCTTCAAGCAGTTCTGCTGCATCAGAGACGTTTGTTGGTACGAGGAGCCGACATGGACGAGCTCTGGGAAGAGCTGGGTGATGTATCCAACGACTACACCCGCACGGCCAAGATATTTGCCCGTCGCATTGCAAAGGCAGATGAAAATGCCGTGCACTTTCCAGATCCAGAGTCTGGATACTCGGTTTTGGAGGAATTACGGGCGCATAATCAAAACGGGAGGCGTCCAATGATGGCTCCTACGCGGAGAGGATCAGGTGCGTGTGCTTCCAAAGCAATGTGTCCAAACCCTGCAGAGGGGCTGATCGTAGCTGGGGTGGCTTAGACAGCTTCTTTGTCGTTGTTGAGTTCGGCAAAATGCACCTCCATCGGATTCAGGGCAGCACACAAGTTGTAGCCCATGCTTGTTCAGGGATTTTGGTGGTTTATTCAAGGTGATTTGCAATGTGTGACTATAATCAACACTGATTTACTTGGTTTTCCATGCTCTATGCTTTTTTTGTAGAGAAAGGTGTAAACATAGCCTGAGAATTAGAGCAAAGCAAAGTGACAAGCCTGCCGAGATTGTCTCTATGTATCTGTGATTGTGAGTAAGTTTTTTTGGGGGGGGAGGGGAGGGATCACAAACCTGAGCTACCGAATTGCAAATCACACAATCCAATCCTACAGTACAGTACGAATCGAACAGCTGCAATGGTTTGTCTTCTCCTGGGTATGGCAATGGTCAATTTTTTTAGGGTGTGCAAATAACCGGTCAAATGCGTGGAGTATCGGCCTGGCTAGAGCTCCGCGAGAACCTTCGACATGGAGTACACGTGCTCTACATGTACTTCCAAGACATATTTGTCACTCAACACGTCAGCAACGAACTGTGTAAAGCCCACATCGTACTGGTACGCTTTTGGAATCTTGTGTTTGGGGCATCATCGAGAAGAGCGGAGAGAATTTCCCCTCCTTTCGATGAGATGGAAGACGACGCACACGTTGACCATTTTTGTTGGCGGAGCAAGTGTGAGTCTTAAAAGCTCTCACCTCGACTTTCGCGACTGGGTCCATTCTCCTTTCCTGATAATCTTGCTTGGTTGTAATAAGGAGAATAAGAGCAGTACACTTGTAAAATTTTAACCAACACAATAGAGAGCCACTGCACCTGCGTAGAATGCTTGTGCTATTCTTACATCTCCCCCTTACTAAAACAAGTGTATTTCAGATAGACTAGACTCATTGTCCACTACTAGCTAGCTAGCTACAGCGTACTAGCTAGCTAGTAGAGTACGATGTAGGTAGTACAGAAAGGTTCGTTTGGTCCATCAGAGCCTAACTCCACTCCTAGCTACCTAGCTAGCTAGCTAGTAGGAGTGAAGTACCAATCTGCTGAGCAAATGAGGGTCCACAACCTTTCAGCCAGCATGCCCGGCAGGTAGCTAACTGTAGACTAGGTGTTGCCGGCTCATCCAGCATTGGCATCGGATGGTGACAGCCGGGCCGGGACCGGGCAGCCTGGTCATCCAGGATTGGCATTGGGTGATGACAGTCGAGGCGGTCAAAAAAAAAAGAGAACGAAGACCAAGTGCTTCAGTATTCTCTTGTCTTTGAACACCAACAACTGCTGCTGTACAAAGCCTGTGATTTGAGGCCGAGACAAGAAGCGAACAGCATTAACAACATGTTGCTGAAAACCATATGCAGCTCGAAACGAGACATGACGAGCTTGAAAGCGGCTGTATCGGAAAAAAGGGGCTTCATTTTTCCTACCGTAGTCCTCTTTTTTCTTTTGTATGCTTTTCGGCTCGATAGCTCTCCCCAGTACACAGGCTTGCAGGTGACAGGCTTGCTGGTGGGCTCTAGTGTGCCCAAGATTCTTCCTATCTTCGATGGAGAAACGACGGATGAAATATCCTGCAAAATGGCAACACAACGCGAGTTTAGCTCGCCGTGGTTTCTAGAAAGTATTGGCTTTATCGGTGAAAAACCTCGTAATCACCGCAAACAGTGGGAGCTCGCCTACGTGGTGCATGTCATCAAGACTCTCAATCTATGCGCGCCCGGAAAGAGAGGTTTGGTACTTGCCGTTGGAGCTGAAAAACTCCCACAGGTCTTTGCTTCAATGGGTTGCTCCATTCTTGCAACAGACCTACCAGTCAACGATGATCCAGAATTTGTGAAAATGTGGGCGAACACAAATCAACATGTGGGAGCAATCGATAGTTTGTATACGAAAAACTACAAGGGAGTCAGCGAAAAGACCTTCAAGGAACTCGTAACATACCACCCTGAGAATATGAATTCATTCTCGGACTGGCTTCTCCAACAAGAGAAATTCGATTTCATTTGGAGTCTATGTTCGATTGAGCACGTGGGATCCATCGAGCTAGGGCAGAATGTTGTTCTTCACACTCTAGATCTGTTGAAGCCTGGCGGAGTGGCTTTTCATTCGGTTGAAATGAATCTATCGTCTAACGATGCAACCAAACAAACAAAAATAGAATCGGTTTGGAGAAAGCGAGATTTTGAAGAGCTAAGGGAAAAAGCAACCGCAAAAGGATTCAGTCCCTTCCCCGCTCAGTTTGGAGCTGGTCATGGCAACTTGGATCGCAATCCAGACGGAGTGCTGGGCCCATACAATGATTCTGACCACATCAAACTGTATGACCCTCAGACTGAGAAGCTGATCAAGACTTCGTATGCGATGATTATACGCAAACCCTAAGCAAATGCTCACCATTGTCTCCTGTTTCCCCCGTCTCCTTACCCGTACCTCACCTTCGGTATTTATGATGAGTATCATACAAGCAAGTACTAGCTAGTAGTATCAATCCAGCCAGCTATAGTTACAATAGTGTTGATTGTAGCTGACATGTTTGACATTCGCTTATGCAGGTTCGGCTGCACTCATACTTTGATTGCACTGGACCCAACAAATGTCACTCTCAACTTACTCAGATTCGGGTGCACTCGCTATGCTCCCTTTCCTCACAGGTCTTTGGTCTTTGCGATGAGTACGTACAAGCAAATGCTAGTAGTAGTATCAATCCTGCCAGCTATAGTTACAACAGAAAACTGGTGACTTACCCATTGTTTTTCAAACCCCACCAACTTGATGGTCAGCGGCCAAGAACTGACTGCCATCCCAAACTGGTACAATTTCAATAGGGATGGCGTTCCAATCTGCACCGGAGATGGTCGGCTTGAGTGCGGCTTGATAGAAAAGGTGCGACGGTTCAATCATTCGAATAGACGAATTAAAGAACAACTTGCCTGTGGATGGCCGAGATCTGACTGACTGCCTTCCCGCAGTCCATAGAAAGTGAATGAGGGATGGCTTTCGAATGAATCTGTACCGTACCTTCAATACACCACTCTTGATAATACCGTAGGCTTACATCGTACCATACCGGTCGTTCGATCGGCCGAGACCACTCTTGTCGGTCAAGCTTGGATTTCTCTCCTGTTTACCATGCTTGCTACTAGCTGCTGCCAATGTGTCAGGCGATGGGTCAGGTATGGTATGGATGCATTCATGCCGATGCCGATGCCAGTACTTGTAGCTGTCGCTTATGTTGTCATGGTTGTTGTGACTGCACCGGTACCGTACGTTGCTACCGACATGGTGGTACTACATGGTTTCTCACGCTTGCTTGGTGGGGTGCCACCGGTCATGGATACTACCTGGTACAGTGAGTGAGCCGAGCAAGGATCCATCACTGTGCGAAGGAGGAGGTACCTACCGCTACCCCACCGGTAGCCAGCGAAGCGGCGATTGTGGCGCAGAGCAAAGAAAAAAATTAATGAAGAAAAAATGTGCGTCCTACCGGTACCAGGACGGTATCACGCGCCGGGTGGGACGCAAAATGGCTTCATTCTTGGATCTTTAGAGATCAAGGCGAGAGATCTTGCACAGCGTGCGTCATGCGTCATCTCTTTGTATTTTGATGGTTTTTGTGATGATTGGATTCGATCATTCAATCATTGTTGTGCTTTAGAAACTAAAACCTACTGCTGTATCTTATCGTCTCATCCACTGCTTAACTCGATCATCAGAGAGGCAACAAGCTTTACCTCTAAAGTTTAATTGAGTGGCTGTATGCCGACCAAAGCAACAAAATGGCATCTACCGGTAAGCATAGAATAAGGGAACACAGCGTGGCCCGTGAATGTTCCGCGTTGTTACCGACGGAGCGGCGACACCCAGAGCCTTCTCAGCGCAGTGGCCGGTTCTCTTGGGCGGCACTACTGTTGTTCGTCGGTGCACTACTCGGATGTGTGTCGCTTCTCTGGAGCAAATCGTCTACTAATAGTATGCATAGTAGTTTGCACCTTGACATTGACACTACCAGAACATCTGTACTGTCACTAAAAAACAACGCACTGCCCTTGGAGGGGAAAATTCATCACCACCACCACCACAAAAAGAAGGAGCACCACCACCCTGCCATATCGGTCGCCAATGCGACCAAACGATGTGACTGGGTCGTACAAACCTTTACCGCCAAGTACTTTTGGGTCCCCGAAGAGGAACGCCGCCGCCACTTCGCCCTTGCGACCGTCGACCCCAACGTTTTTTATCGTGCCACGGCCAATATCTTTTGGGTGGACTACGTCCTGAATGGATGGGGGGATCGAATTCAGTTGGAAACGATTGGGATCCATGCGCTCCAGTACGATGGAACAACGCCCCTGCAACCCAAGTCTCTTTGGACGTGGGTGACGGGAGATCAGCACTTGTCCAATTTTGGGGCGTGGAAGAACCGTACGTTCGTTCTACATATATACATACAGTGTTTTTCCTTTTTTCACATTTTCAAACCGATCCCTAACCAATGATTTCGTTGTATAGGCCACGGAGACGTGGTCTTTGGAGTGAATGACTTTGATGAAGCTGCCATTTATGACTTTGGAGTCGATGTGCTCCGCATTGCCGTCTCGGTTTGCTCTCATGCTCATACCAATGGGCTCTCACACGCCCAAGTCAACGAAGTACTACGGGCATTCACAGATACCTATGTCCAAACAGTCATCAACTATGTCGGCAGCGATCGAGAGCTCACATTTGAGTTGACACCCGAAACATCTTCCGGGAGCTTGAAGGCGTATCTCACTGACGTTCGAGATGACAGGTCCAGTGAACGACAGCTCGAAAAGTTCACCGATGTCGACGAGCATGGGAATCGACATTTTATACGAAATGATAATACTCGTCTGGTCAAAGTCAGTTCCGACATGGAAGCCAAAATTCGTCAAGCATTTACAGTGCATCGATACGGTAAGTTGCTTTGATGGTAATCGAATGTGGCTTTTTTTTCTTCGTTGAGTTAGTTGGCTAACTTGGCTGCGCCTGTTTTTATTGCCTCATCATCATCATGATGATGATAAAGGAGCCACATTGATGAAAATGGGATGGCAGGTAAAGGGTTGGACTGACGAGTACTTCCAAGTTCTAGACATTGCCGCTCGTGTTGGTTCCGGTGTTGGAAGCTACGGAGTCGATCGATACTACTTACTTCTAAAGGGAACGGATAACAGCCTGGAAAATTGGGTCGACGGGAACGCGGTGATCCTCGACGTCAAGTACGAACCTCCGGGCGCCGTGACACAAGTTTTAACACCCGAAGATACATCTTGGTACAAGATATTGTTTCAGAATGACGCTCAAAGAGCAATTGAGGCACAGCGTCGTCTGACATCGTATACAGACCCATTTACTGGATGGGTAGTCATCGATGATAAACCTTTTACTGTTCGACAAAGATCTCCCTGGAAGAACGCACTTGACTTGAACAAGCTCTCGGATTTGGATAGCTTCATTGATTTCATGGAACAAGTAGCCGTCTCTACAGCAACATCTCACGTGCGGGGTACTGTTTCAAAGTCTCCTGGTCAGGTGAGTGAAAATACATGCATTTGTGACAGAGGTGTGGGCAATGCACGACGAGCCCTGCTTTTTCGCTCGCTGACTAATAACAGAACTGTACTCTCCCATGCCTATTGATTGATTGATCGATTGATTTGCATAATAAAGTTTAAGCATGAGATCGCCTCGGCTCTCGGGCACTATCGCGATCGCGTTGCGTGGGGACGAGCTGTCCAGCAAGTCGCCACAGACTATCGTGAGCAAGTACTGCTGGACTTTCAGTGCTTTAGGCAGTATGTCGACAAGCTCTATCCGTCGATGCATCTACAGCCCAGTATTGTTCAAGATAGCTCAGACTGATAGTCTTTGACTATGGACAACCACAAGGACAGTGCAGTGGCCTGTCAATCTCGCTGTCTTCCTTGGTGGACTGATGCTGAGTACTGGAAATCGCGTCACTTGTGAGGAGCATACTCAGACTGCAATTGCTTGAGTCCAGTTGCAACAGCAAAAGGCCATGGGGTGGACAACGCACTTCCCCCCATACTGTATGTAGCCTTGAGAACTGTTGATTTCGTCTCCACACCCAGCAAGCATAGGCTACGATACCTGCGGTCCCATTGTTGTTCAGAGCGAGAAAGGTCAATTTCTTGAAGTGCTGAAGTCAGGACCCCCGCGAGCAGAGGTGTAAGACGAGGTTTCATGGTGCCGCCGGCAGCCTGCGTACTGCCTGTTGGACCTTGTTGGTACCAGTACCGGTACTGGGAAAAGGCCAGGCACTGTACCGGTATGCCGCCGGGCATGCACATGTGACACTTTTGTCTTTACCCAATAGTCCTCGGCTGTCCCAATGCACTGGTGTTCAAGGCATCCTTGAATTTAATCAAGCAAGCATGAGAATAAGTGAGACATATGCTCCAGATATCTAATCCATTCACCGTCCACGAGCGAAGGATTGACTTATTAGTCGTTCGCTTGCTCGACTATTTACAGAGAGCGCCTTTTGTGGCAGTGCGTGATTCGATTCGATTCCGTACGCTACAGAAAAAATATTTCAAATGGGCTTCTGTTGCGTGGTTGTCACCAATGTGACAAGTTGTAGATCTCGCCCAAAGATAAAGATTGTAGGAAACAAAAAGCAGCTATGCTGGTCTCGTTTAACGTTGGTTTCCAATACAGAGGACGAGACCCTCCACTAATCAGCTTTCAAAATAAAATCGTATGACCCTTATATTACTTGCTACATGTTGTTCTCATACTCGACTGTAGCTGCACACTTGTACCAACATGTATCATAGTGATATTTCCCAACCCAACCCACGCAAGATACCTGCCGTGCCGCTGAGTACATGCCATCACAAGACATGACCTGACCTGACTTACCGTACCTTAGTCAATTCGGGGCTTCTTGGCACGGGGCTTCTTTTCTTCTTCTTCGTCCTCTTTTTCTCCTTCTTCTTGGGAGACCACAGGGCGGCTGGTCGTTTCGTCCTCGACATTTCCCTGACCAGATCCCTGTAGACTCACCGCAGTTGTTCCCTCCTGCGGATCGTGCAACGGCTCCAAGTCCTGAACGGACGGCACATCCGACGCACCTGCCGCCCAAATAGCTCTAACCAGCGACGCAACACCAGCAGTTTCATCACCCGAGCGGGAGCCAGCTACGCCAGTCATGACGGAACCTTGCATGAGCTGTTCCCTGTCAGCGCTACCGAGGGTACCGCCATATTGGCCTCCGTCATCTTGGCCTTGCTCAATGATGGCTTGAGGGGCTGGAGCGACAACGACAGCATTTCCACCACGCGCAGCAGCACCAGCGCTCAAGACACCGAGGGAACTGGTATCTTGGTCACTGTCATCTTGGCGTCCGACAAGAATGGCTTGAGGGGCTTGAGCCAGCTGGGTAATGCGGTCATCAAAATTTTCAGGAAGATTTGGGAAGTAGATACGAACGAACTGAACAAAGCGCTCCGGTCCCGGTGCCATTAGAGCATTCAGAGCACTTGGTTCAAAATTGCCCGAGCCAACTCTTCACGGCAGCAATGTCTTTGTTCAGAGCATTGTTCTCCAGGGCGATTTTGCTGTTGGATACGTTACTGTGTACAAGCGTGACGCAAGAACCCGCCGTGATCATGGTTTTATTGTCTTCCTCCTCCTCGCAGCCCCAGTCCGTCTCTTCCATTCCACAACTTGGAGCCCTGGATACAACACAGTGAAGAGTGCTGGTGGCCATGAGAGAAACAAGTGAATGTTGTTGTTAGGCTACTGCTGCGGATTGCTGCGGTTGTCAGTTGTCAGTTCTTTTTGTTGCCAGTTTGCTGCTGGCTGCTCTCCTTGCGACAACGCCGATGGCTACCTCTAATAATGAACCGAATACAGGATCGCCATGAGTATTTCGCACGGCAAGATCTCTGCTTCGATGTGAGAATAGGAGTCGAGTCGCTTCGTTGTGGTTGCTGCGGTTGTTGATCAGAGTTCCGCCAAGCTACTAGTACGGGTGTGGCTGTACCTGGTACCGTACCAGTACCGGTGCATAGAAACGTAGTACCAGGTACCCGTACCGGTACGGCACGCTGTGTCCAGCCAGTACGTGTACTGGCCGGACCTCTAACGAGTGCTCCAGTCGTGGGGGTCGACACGTCAATTTCAGATATTTTTCAATTTCATAGAAAAGGAACCCCGAAATGGTCATTTCGAGAAGCCAGACTGATAATAACTGGATAAATCAATATTGAATAAATATAATTGAATTTTATCACAATGGCAACAGAATTGACCAAATAATGGTCCCCAGCTTTATCTAAGTCAGCGGGAGCTGCGATACCTCGGCAGAAAGACAGATAGAAGAAGGAGGATCATGTTCGAGATTGCACCCATCTTTCAAGCCAGCCCCCCGGTATCATTCATTCCCTCATTGCAACCTTCTTTATTTTAAAAGCTAGCCCTGGCGACAACACCCGACTACGTGGTGTGTTGCCGCCCGCTACTCTATAATTTACCAGCTGCCATTCCCTTATGTAATTGTATTCTTTGTAGCCCGCTAACCATAATTTACAGCTGTCATTCCCTTGTGTAATTGTATTCTTTGTAGCTTCTGCAGGCTTATTGTGTTGAGTGCACTAACCTTGAATAATCATGATTTATTCCTACCCCTAAATTTGTAGAACCTTCAATTTCCAGTTTTGTTGGCTTAAGACTATCTCTATCCCTATATTTTGGCTTCACCGGAATAGGAAATAGCATTTAAGTCACGGGAGCTCGATACTCGGCAAAAGACAAATAAAGAAAGAGGATCGTGTTTGAGATTGCATCCTTCTTTCAAGGTAGACCTGGCGACAACACCCGACTTCGTCGTTGTTGCCCCCGGTATCATTCTCATCATTAACCTTCTTTATATAAGCTAGCCCTGGCGACAACACCGACTTCGCGTGTGTTGCGCCCACTATCATTCCCTCATTGTAACCTTCTGTTTTATATTAAGCTAGCATTGGCGTAGCCACGGTCTAACCCATAATTTACAGCTACATTCGATTGTGTAACTCTAAATTTACAACACCTGCTGGCTTATTGTGTTTTTGTCTGATGCACTAACCTTAAATTAATTGAATATTCCTACCCCTAACTTTATTGAACCTTCAATTTCAGTTTTGCCAGCTTACATTATCTCTATCCTTATACCCTGGCTTCACGGGAATAGGGGATCCCACAGACACAAAACAGAGGATCCCACAGACAGAATAAGTCAGCGGGAGCTGCGATACCTCGGCAGAAAGACAGATAGAAGAAAGGAGGATCATGTTCGGATTGCACCCATCTTTCAATCAAGCTAGCCCCGACAACACCCGACTACGTCGTGTGTTGCTGCCGGTATCATTTATCCTCATGCAACCTTCTTTTTATTAAGCTAGCCCTGGCGACAAGCCACACACGACTACGTCGTGTGTTGCCGCCCGCTACTCTATAATTTACCAGCTGCCATTCCCTATTGTAACTCTAATCTTTACAGCTCCTGCTCTCTATTGTGCTGTTGTGCTAATTGCACTAACTTAAATTTAATGATTTATTCCTACCCCTAACTTTTTTGAACCATCAATGTTCAGTTTGTTGGCTTATGACTATCTCTATCCTTAACTTTGGCTTCACCGGAAAGGAAAATAGGAAAAGCATTTAAGTCAGCGGAAGCTGCGATACTCGCAGAAAGACAGATAGAAGAAGGGGATCATGTTCGAATTGACCCATCTTTCAAGCAGACCCTGGCGACAACACCCGACACGTTGTTGTGTTGCCGCCAGGTATCTTTCATTCCCTCATTGCAACCTTTTTTTTATTAAGCTAGCCTGCGACAACACCCGACTACGTTTGTGTTGCCGCCCGCTACTTTATAATTTACCAGCTGCCATTCCCTTATTGTAACTCTACCTTTACAGCTCCTGCTGCTTATTGTGCTGTTTTGCTGATTGCACTAACCTTAAATATTAATGATTTATTCCTACCCTAACTTGTATTGAACCATCAATGTTCAGTTTGGTGGCTTATGACTATCTCTATCCTTATACTTTGGCTTCACCGGAATAGGAAATAGGAAATAGGAAATAGGAAATAGGAAATAGGAAATAGGAAATAGCATTAAAGGGGTTGAGAACTCAGGCAGTTTACCTGCCGAGGTAAAGGGGTTGAGAACTCAGGCAGTTTACCTGCCGAGGTTATTTGCCAATAAAGGGGTAGAGGACTCAGGCAGTTAACCTGCCGAGGTAAAGGGGTTGAGAACTCAGGCAGTTAACCTGCCGAGGTAATACACAGCTTCCCAATCGGAACTACCAATCCTTGCTAGCTAAGAAGGGTATCTCCCCCACACACTCACAGAGGCACCCCTTGAACCGGATTGGCTATCTCCAAGGTTTGGAGCGTCTCTCAAAAACAGGCTTGGATTCCATTGCGTTGTCATTCTGCCATGGTCCATCACTCTAAGCACTCAATCTGTGCACTGTAGAGTAGATCTATGGTACAGTAGAGGACTATGATAGGAGGCATCTCCGAGTCTTCAACTTTCAAACAACCCAAACAATTTCTGGCCCTTACTCAAGTCTGGGCTTCTTGCTGGCACGTGGCTTTTTGTCTTCTTCTTCCTCTTCATATTTCCCCCCGTCTTCTTGGGAGTTGCCATTGTCAGCTTGAGGATTTGCTGCAGTAACCGCCACCGCGCTCTCACCTTTCGTTTCGTCCCGACCAAGGAAGGGCAACGGCTCCAAGTTCTGAACGGGCGGCACATCCGACGCAACTGCACTGCTCGTAGATGCCGCTCCAACACGAAATTCATCTGGACTAGCTTCTACCTGTCCACCCAGTGACGCCACATCAGCAATTTCATCATCCGAGCGGGAGCGAGATGTGCCAGCAGCAGCTCGACGACCATGGCCACTAGAGCTACCGAGGGAACTGCCATCTTGGGCTTGGTCAACAATGGCTTGGGCGGCGATGGCTTGAGCGGTGATGGCTTTTGCTAGCTCGTTGATGCGTTCGTCTTGAATTGCAGTAAGATTTGGGCAGAGGAACCGAACATTTTTAACAAGGGTTTCCGTTCTCAGCATACTATTCAGAGCAACGTGAGTCATTCGCCCGAGGACATCATTCACGGCAGCAATGTCACTGCTCAGGGCATTGTTCTTCATGGCTTGAGCTAGCTCCATGATGCGGTCATCTCGAATTGCAGTAAGATTTTGGCAGTAGCCACGAACAGTTGCAACAAGGGTTCCCACTCTCAGCATAACAGTCAGAGCATGTGGATGAAGTTTTCTGAGGCAACTATTGACGGCAGCAATGTCTTTGTTCAGAGCATTGTTCTCCGCGGCGATTTTGCTGTTGGATACGTTACTGTGTACAAGGGTGACGCAAGAACATGTTGTGATCACGGTCTTATTGTCTTCCTCATCCTCGCGGCCCCAGTCCGTCTCTTCCATTCCACAACTTGGAGCCCTTGATACAACACAACGGGCCATGCGAAGGTTGTTGTTATACTGCTCTGTGTTTGCTGTTGTTGTCAGTTGTGTCGTGAGTTTGCTGTTTACTGCTGCTGCTGATGATGATGTACCGGTACAAAATGTACAGGTTGGACAAGTATGTACTGTGCCTATGTGCTACATGTTGATCAGTCGGTCGCCATCTCTCGTTGGTCCTCTCTTAACCGACCATGTGTATTGTCAACGTGTGTATGTGGACGGTTTGTGGGAAAGAATGCACGAAGACCGTTATCTACACTGCATGAACTCCTTCTAGCTAGTAGATCTGTAAGTGCACACTGCAAAGCAAACCAATCAACTAAGTTCTTGAGACTGCCCAGTCTGCAGCCAAAAAAGTCTCATTGCCTGCCTGCCAAGTGAGCTGCCACATTCAGTTGTGCCCTGGCTCTGCACAGCCAAAAAAACTGCACATGTGGCAAGCTACCAGTAGCAGCCATTGCTCCACAAAGCCTCTTTCTCAGAATGCATCCACAATATTTTAAAAAGCTAAAACTATTGCTGTTAGGGAACTACTGCTATGGAAGACCTATGCATGGTGTCACAACTGTTGTGTCAAGGTGGGCAGGATAGGTCTGCTGAAGCAAAGTGGATTGACCCAATCAAGCAACGATGCAGCACTACCTCATACTGACACATCCTGGAATCCACAGCTATAATCAACATGGTCCCTTTCAACGGAAGCCTCAAAATTTTCAGCATCAAGCAGCTTTGTTTCGTCGTCACTTGCTTCCTTCTCGTACACATCAATTTCCTCATCCGGGGCCCCCATGCCAGTATGTTCCATCAAAAGAGAAATCATGCGCTTGTACTCCGTGTTCTGCTTCTTTAGTGCTTCCATGTCATCTGGGAGAGCCTCAAGAACTTCCCTGTTGCGTTGGCGTCGCTCAAAGCTGTCAAGAATCGTCTGCTTGCCATCATTGTACTTCAACCAATAGGCCATGTAGGCCAACATGATTACAAGAAAGGCAGAGAAGAGAACTCCCAAGGTGGTCATTGGCACTGATCCAGCAGTGAAAAGACTGGAGATACCCAACAAAAGCAGGGGAATCAACAAGAAGGCAACTCCCAAGTACACAAGTGGAAATCCTTTCCACAACTAATATCCCATTGCGACCCATTTGAATAACATACTGCGGATTCGCCGCTTGATTTGGATTGGGAGTGTAAGTTGAGTGACGGTTCACCCAAGAAATGTTTTGGTGGCGATGATGATGAAACCATTTCACGACGTCTCTTTTATTGCGGAAAGAGGTTCCATTAATGATGTCATTGAAAACGGCACTCGCCTCATCGGTGGGTGCTTTGTTGTAAGTTGCATTCCCATCGCCTAGTACCATAGCAACGTCCACATGATCATAGAACCCTGATTCAAGTAGCGGTTTGATGATTGTCATTTTACCCAAGAAGTGAGCACCGCTCAGAGGGATGTTGCGCATGAATGGGATTGGGTATCAAACGAGAATACTAGTGAGGTTGAAGAACAAGTGAGCCAGGGCCACCTGCAAGGACTCATTTGAAGCAGACACCAAGGCAGCCAACAGACCAGTGAATGTAGTTCCAATGTTGGCCCCAAGTGTCATGGGAAGCATGGACTCAAGTGGCAAGACACCAATACCAACAAGAGGTGTCAATACACATGTGGTGATGGAGGAAAATTGGACAGCATAGCCATTCATGTTGGTGGCCTTGTAGATGATTCTTGATGAGATTCCGAAGAGCAATTTTTTTCAAGACTGAAACCAGTCCAGCAAGGCAAACAGACAGCAGAATGATTGCAATTATGAAGACCACAACACCAGATGTTGTGTCGCTGCTTTGTGTAGCACCATCTTCAAAGAAGAGTGGGCAGTCACCAGTGTCCTTGATACGGGAGATAAGCCCATCTTCACATTTGACGGGGTAGAATTCAGAACAGGAGGCACCATTTGCAACTGCCTTCATCAGGCTCTGGTTGGATTTGATAATCTTTGTAGTGATTGGAGTGACCATCTCCTTCACAAAGGAAGAGCTGCTGTCACCATCTTTGACTTCAACTCCATCAACAATGGCCCCAGTCAAGGCATCAAGGTATCCAGTGACGACTTCAACTGATAGCAATATAGCCACAGTGAGAAAGTTGAAAATATCATGCACAGTGGCACCAGCAAAGGCCCTCTCAAGGTCATCTCCATCTCCCATTTGTCCCATGGCAACAATAGTGTTGGCGACAGAAGTTCCAATATTGGCTCCCATGACCATGTAGATTCCTTGATAAACAGAAATGGCACTTGGGACCATGGGCACAATGATGGATGTGGTAATGGAAGAGGACTGAAGACACACCGTGGCAAGCATTCCAATAATGACTCCTGCCATAGGATTGCCTGCACCACCAAACAGACCTCCAGAAACGCATCCTGTCATGACTTTGGCACCCTCTCCAAGAAGCTCAATGACAACCAAGAAGAAGTAGAGGAAGAAGGCAGCAATAAGTAGTCCAAGGACAATGTATGCCCACTCTTTGGGTGTACGGACAAAGCATGCACTGCAGACCTCGCCCCAGCTGGCATCCATTGCCTCCTGCATCTCACGCATTTCATCGGTGCGGGTGGGGACGGCATCTCCCTGCTGAACCTCAGCATTGGTTTTCCGGTTTGGTGACATGGTTTTGGTTCCTCGAATTTTGCGTCGTCTGATTACCTCAACGCAACGGTCTTGTTCTTGTTGTTTCAATGTTGTTGTTGTTGTTTCAAAGAGAACGTTTCGGTTTGTGAGAACAAGAGTATATTGATGGATAACTTCCCTACTCCACCCACACGGAAGGTTACTGCCAAGGAATCGCATGCATGGCTGCGCAACATGCTGCTTGCTAGTAGTAACTTGCTAAACTTTCTTTGCGAATGATCCGTATGTCCTTGAGGGACGCTTGACGAAGGATCTGCACGGATTTCCGAGTACTACCAGCTACTACATTGGTGCCGTTAGAATTCCTCCCCAGGACGCGAATTTCCGACCAGCCTGCTGAATTGGCCGGCGGAAAGATCGAGGACAACGAACAAGCTATCAGTAGCCTGCTCCCTAGCTAGTAAGCTACAACTGCATGGCTGAATCTTAGATCTGTGGCTGTGGCTTCATGGCTTGATGCCTCCATGAAATGCTACTAGCTGGCTGGGTTGGTTGATGCTAGAACGGAGCGAAGGGTAGAGGGCGACGAAGAGCCAGCCAGCAAGCTTGCAACCACGTACCAAATAACCCAAGACCTGGAACGGCAACTCAAGTGCCCTTGGCCTACAGGCTACCTACTAGAGCGCAACCTCAAGCTTACAGCTGCTGACCTTGGCTGCCTAAACGTTTGCTGTGTTCTATCCAGCCAACAGATCACAATCGCAACCAAGTGCTATCATACTGGATCCTTGGCCAGGCTAAACGTGACGGTGGATCATTGCATCACCAAAAAAGTGACGATCTTTTCAACAAGGTTCGACAATTTTGGTGAGGTCGTGATTCAATTTAACCCTTTGTGTCAGGCACTAATCAAGAGTTGAACACTGACATTTTGTCAATGACTTTGACAGTTTGCGTGACGAGGGCAATCCAAAGTTATTGAAAAGCCCTTTCACGGTCCCTTGTAGAGGAAGATGGGCTTTTGCTTTGAGCTTGTAGCCGTGGATCTTGTTCTTGTGAGTTTCTTAAAAGGCGCAACTTGCTTGCCCCAGACCAGCCAGCTACCAGCTACCCGGTACCAGGTGGTACCAGATTCCAGCAAGGATCATTGACTCCCAAGTAGTCTACAAACTATTATGGCAAAAGGTGGCTACTTGTACCGGTGCCTTTCTCGCCAACAGCAGGCCTTGTTGGCCTGGTTCTTGCCGGCTTGCCGGTACGTAACGAATCGTAGCGACAAGAAAGCACCTTCCGCCTACACTGCTCCAGTTAAAGAGAAAAACACGCCGACACCGGACCTAGACACTGTGTCAAGGGTTTGACAATGGGTCTTGTATGGCATGAGCTTGCCACTGTAGCTAGCTAGGCAGCCCAGGCAGTGGCGTCGAGTCCGTGACGAACAATGCATTGCTGTGGCTGAACATGTATGTATGTGAAGCAACCCTGGATACCGTGAAAGTTATGATCCTTTCCCAATCGCCACCGTACGGTGGTAGGTACATCGTAGACATCCGGATCCCCGCCAAAACGACCTTTAAAGCAAGCTCCTCGGTTTGCGAAGGCGATCTTTCTGTGCACTTCGAGCGCCACTTCGTCTACGGCTATCATAGCTACCACGTACCGGTAGTAGCTAACCAGAGAGGCCACGGTAGCTACCTCTCAACTTGCATGGCATCAGGGATCTTCGTAGCTGTTTGCTGTCGTTGGCTCTTCGGTCTTGCCGGATGATGCCAGCTAACCGACGTGAGATCGTCCCCTCAAAACTAGACTACCTTGCTAGCTAAGATTCGTTGCTCTCCTAAGATTTAAACCCAAAGACCCGTTCGGAAGAGATAGATAGATGTAGATAGCAACCAAGATAGCTAGTACAGGAAGTGTTTGTTTCCTTTAATAACGGTGTTATGCATTTTATTATTATTATTCTTTGAACATCCATCATCACAGTTACGCCACGGGCGCACATTCGGGATGCATCTTGGAGAGCCCGTAAAAGTTGAATCCAGAAATGGCCAAATCTTGTTCGGACTTGCCGGCATCTCGCAACAACCGCGTGGCTTGGGAAAACGACTGGACCAGACTTTGAGCATCCCCACGTTGCAAATGGACATTACCGATATGATTGAGTGTGGTGGCCATGGCTTCTGGGCCACCCCGATTTGCCCTTTGAATGCGCAGTGCATGTTCAAAGTACTCCAACGCTTCGGTCAATTCCCCGCGTTGTTGATGGACTTGGCCCAAGTGTAGTGTAGTGGCAATCACGTCGGCATGCGATTCTCCCAATGCCGCTCGTTCGACGCGCAGTGTTTCCCGGTAAAACACGAGTGCTTCTTCGTCGTCACCCGTCTCGAGCATGATGGTGGCAATATTGTAGAGAATAATGGCCACTTCCCGATGATCATTGCCGAGCAAGTCTCGTCGAATGCGGAGGGATTCTCGAAACGACTGGAGGGCAAAATCGTGGAGTTGCATCTTGAAGAGTACCAATCCCAACGAGTTGAGTGTCGAAGCAACATCCAAATGAACATCACCAAAGGCATCCCGTCGAATGCGCAGTGCTTCTTGATAGACATCCAATGCCTTGGTGTACGCTCGTGTCTGGTAATGAATGAGTGCAATACTGGAGAGAGTCGTGGCAATGTTGGGATGCGAGGCACCCAATGAATGCCGTTGAACCGAAACGGCTTCCTTGTAGAGTCGGAGTGCGGCTTGATGTTCACCTCGCAACTTGTGAATTTGTCCAATATTGGTCAGTGTGACAACAATGTTGGGATGGTACGTATCCAGCACGGCCCGTTCGACTTGGAGTCCTTCTTGATAGACCGCCAGAGCGGCATCCATGTCACCGCGTTCGTAAAACAAATTCCCCAATTTGTTGAGCGTCGATGCCACTTCGGGGTGGTACGTACCGAGCGCGGCCTTGCCGACTCGGAGTGCTTGTTCATACAACTCGGCGGCGGGTCCGTACTCTTTTTGTTCGTGATGAATCTGGGCCATGCACTTGAGCATGGTGGCGACATCGCGATGATAGACACCAAGACGTTGTTGGGCAATCCTCAAGAATTCCTTGTAGAGCCGCATGGCTTCGCTCAATTGTCCGCGTTGATGATGGGTCTGTCCGGCATTGTAAATGGTGGCGGCGACATCGAGATGATCGGGCCCCAACAAATGGCGGCGCATTTCGAGGGCGCGTTGGTACCATGTGAGCGCCAATTCGTGTTGTCCCTTCATGTAATGGACGCGTCCAATGTTATTGAGGGTCGTGGCAATCTCCTTGGTGGCGGCGTCTTTGCCCAAGACGGCATACCGCAATGTGAGTGATTCTTGATAGAGTGCCATGGCTTGTTCGGTATCGGCTTGGGGTAAATGAAAACAAAGCACGCCCAAACAGTTGAGAGTGGCGGCGAGTTCGAGGAGTTGATGGGACGATGGAGTGGGACACGCGCGTCCGACTTCGAGTGCCTTGCTGTACGTTCGGACGGCATCTTCGTAGTGACCTTGACGGTACTGCAAGTGGCCCAAGTTGTGGTAGAGCGCCAAGAAGGAAATCGTTTGAGGAGGTGCTGCTGTGGCTGAGTCTTTCTTGCTGGAGGACGAAGAAGAAGAGTCCTTGGTCGACGACACCGTGGCCGAGACGGGGCTGTTGGTCGTAGTAGAAGACGACACAGTAGTAGTAGAAGTAGTAACAACATACGCAGTAGCACTTCCGGTAGGAGATCCCATGTGCAACAACTGCAACGCTTGCAAAAAGGCTTCGGTGGCTTCTTGTTCTTCATTGAGGCGCAAATAGAGTTGTCCCAAGTTGAACAAGATGGTGGACGTGACGGCGTGCATGGAGAGTCCCGCCGTGGCATCGAGTGGCAGTGGTTGACTGAATGTGTGCATGCCTTCATCGTATTCGCCGCGTTGGTAAATGTACAGATTCTTGCTCACTTCTTCTCCTTCCTCCTTATTGTTGGCGCTAGAAGTGGGTGAGGCATGACGATGAAGCGTCTGAAGCGATCCTGCATGCGCATTGAAGAATGTCATGGCGTTGGCTTTTTCCAGCGCTCGCTTGAGTGCGTGTCCGGCTTCGACCAACTGCTCCGCCGTGCCTTCCAAACACGAGACGCCCGTGTTGTTGTGACGTGTAATGGACTCCAACATGGACGTCGAAGCCGGCATGGCAATGCCCGTAGCGATATTGGAAAAGGACATGCTGTTGCCATTGTTGTTGGACGATTGGTGATGATGATGGTGTTTATAAGACGAACCCAAAATGTCCGACCTGGTAGTACTCTTGCTGCTAATGTCGATACTGCGACTCGACATGTCAATGCTCTTGATACTCATGTCCATAATGTTGCTGCTATCATGGTGAGGGTGATGATGGTTTGCCGCACTGGTGTTCATATTGTTGTTGGTGCCGTGTAGGTAACTCATCTTGCTATGATTGTCTTTGAATGGAATGGATTGGGATGAATTGTGAGAGAGTGACAAGCAAGATTATCAAAATTATGAATTGAGATCCAAGTCTTCACCAGCGCCTGATTATTTTGATTTGACTTGATCAATCAATAATGTAGATGTATGTGGTGGATGTATGTACTATGTATGTGTCGACCTCGGCCTTCCACTGACTTGTTGTGGTGCTTGTTAGTTAGACTCTTTTAGTGGAAGTGGACCTGGTCTGGCCTGGTCTATTATTACTACACCGAGACTGCACGCTCAGCTTACTCTTGTCAATAACATTGCCGGAGCGTGTATGCAGCACCAGGGCCGTTGTAGGTCGTAGTGGAAGAGAGATTAGACGTCGCTGGAGTTTAAACCAACTTTCCCTGGTAAAATGTGCCTCACGCCATCCACCAAACCACGCCATCTGATTGCCGCCTTGCTATTGAGCACTCTTTTAATACACCGCCAAAAAGACACCATCCTATAAACAGTAGTCCAACAGAAATAAGCCCACTGCACAAATGACTCACAAACATCGCATTTCTAGTCGGACAATGTTCAGAGATCCAGTCAATCTCAGAAGGGCTTTAATCAAATAAAGTTATTCGCTCGACTAAATGTCTCCACTCTACAAAGACCCTCACTAAACAGTACAATCCAGGGGACGCTCAAAAGGCATCCAATGACTGGCGAACCCATGAACCACCCAAACCAGCCGTTATAATTCAGAGACCCAAAACTACGATCAACTACTTCTCCCACCTTCTCCACACAGTCCCGTTTTTTCGGCTTTCGGAACCTTGCCATCACGGATGTTTGGATGCAGTATGTTGCGCTACATAGTCTGCTCTGCCCATGCCATAAAACGCTGCTTGCAAGAGCCACAAGAGCCATGCTGCTTGCACCAAAACTGCCATGAACGAATTAGAGCAATACTGTACCGCACTACTGTACTAGTAATAATAACAGCACGCGAGTTGATGGAACCAGTACAGCTTCATGTGAACATTTATCACGATGACGAGGAGAACACAAAGATAATTGTAGTCGGCATTCGGCAAGGCTGTAAAATTGCGATAAAAGTAAGCTGACATATAGGGGAACATCACATTCAGTCGTAGTTCAGTGATTTAAGTCCTTCTTCTCCTTACTTATTGACACTACAAGGCTTTTTGGGGCATCACAATATTCACCGCTCTTCGATCTCGACGGTTCCACTCCAAAACAAGGTTAGCTTTTGACTGGCAAATTAAATATAGACCAATAATGGCAGGAGGATCGATAATGGTAGGTCACCTCTCCACTGTGCAACCGAGAGGGCATCTGATCTCAATGGATGTTGTTGGCTGTTGTTCATTCGCCACTCACATATTATTATTATGCTGCCATGTAGATACCGGTACCATACACGACAAAGCAAGCAGCTACCACTAATGGCTGCGGCTACCGTACTGCATATTGGTACCAGTGAGTGACATGTGGCTCTGACGAAGCGCGAGCTCCAGTCTAGACATTGATCTCTTTTGTCCAGGAGCTACCACCACGTACGATTGGAACAAACAAACAGAGATGCCTTTTGGTCACTCTTGCAAAAAGAAGACACCAAGTGGGTATTAGTACATCAGTACCGTGCTTCATTATTGTAGCTATCCATCGGTACCGTTGAGTTTTTCGTTTCATGTTGCTTTGACACGGCACTGGCTGGCTGACTCCGTGTGGATGCAGGTTGCTTGCTTTGCTTGCTTCAGCCGTGCATTGGTGGGAAGCAAGTGTGTTCTGGAAAGTCCTAGCGTAATTCACAAGAACACTTCCTGCATGGTCTGATGACGCTCCCTTTTTGCCTTTGGTTGCTTTTGGAAAACATATTGGTGTCTGTGCCTCGTTTGGTGGCTGGCTGCAGGCATGGGCTGAAGGATAGTGGTGCATCACTCGCGCCTTTACCGTGGGCTTAGTTTAGTTAGTTCAGTACATATACCTATTCGTCCCATGGACCGGTATCCATTAGGGAGGAGTGTGTTAGAGAGTAAAACCCGTTAGGTTCTTCCCCGAGAAATGATGGAAACTTGGTTGGGCAGCTTCATTGAACCCCATTGTTGAGCTGTTGTCGTCGGCTGGGCTGAGGTATCTTTTGGTAGGTTATCGGAAAATCAAAGGCAACATTTCTATACTGTCAATTTCTGAATTTCTAGCAGCAGCGACTGGGTGCGAGAGTGGTTATTCGGGTGGACTTGAAATCCACTGCCTTATTGGCGCGCAGGTTCGAATCCTGTCCCAGTCGTTCGGATTGTTTTTGTTTGTTTTGTTGCTTTTCCTGGCTGGCCTTTTTGTTCCTCTGTACCACTACGTACCTACCCATACGTTACCACGACCGTTGCGTTCCTACCCGTGAAGTCCACCTCGCTACATACATCTGGACCCGGGAAGCAGAGGTGACCTCTTGCTTGGAGACCAATGGCTCGTCCTTGATCGTGATCTTTGGAAACATGATATGCACCCAGTGCCCGTTCACTTCGTCCATGGTGATACTCGCAAGGTCGCTGCAGGGTTGTTGTGAGTTTTGCCCTGTTCCCCTAGACTTTGCTTTCTGAAAGGATGTAGTCCTGGTTCCCTTAGCTGGCTGTGGCCACGCTCGAACCAACAGCCCGCCGAAGCACCCACGTGTTCCTTATCACCTAACTTACTTGCCTGTTTGCTTGGTTCCTTGATTGCTTCAGTGGCTGGAGAGACAACGACGGGTAGCAAGAGCGACCAGCGGGGAATAGGACCTGGTAGCGGTGGTAATGGCGTGGACGGTTGTGCATCCATTATTGTTTTGGAGTGCCCCGAGGTGTTTCATTGCCAGCTCGTTGCTGAACGGTCCTAAAGAGGTGACCAAACGTCCTATTCGAGGCGCGATCCCCAAACACCACGTTGCAAAGCTCAAGCTGCTTGCTTGGTGTGCTTCCTTCGAGGTTCGAGGGCCAAGAAGCTGCTCCAGCCAGAGAAGAAACAGGCATAACCAGTACCAGGGACAAGGCATGCTAGTCACCGCCACTACTACTTGCTAGTGCTGTTCTCCAAGCAGCCTCCGCCGCTACTACATGTCCATGTAGCGGAAGCCCCGTCCTCGGACCATTGCTTGTATCCAAACGCCAGTTAGCAACGGCAACGCGAGTAACAGTACAAGGCAATGACCGTGGTACGATGGTGTGTCGAGCTATTTTAAGCAGGCAGCACAACGGGTTTAGTAGCAAAGACCTGAGAGAATTGTTTCGGATCAATGCGAGTAAGGGTTCACCGCCCGGGGATGCTGTGGTAAAGAGGAAAATTCTTTCTTTCCATATTACGAGTGTACTCTTCAAAAGTGGCCTTTCCCTGATAGGTTTTGCACCAGATCTTGTGTACTGGCCATGCAGCAACCTGACATTCACGGGAGCAGTACATGGTGTCACGGAAGTGGATTGTACTTGTGCTGCCGGAGCAATTGGGACAGACTGGCACAGCTTCATTGTCCAAGATCTTCTTGCAATGATCACAACTTTACGTTTCAGGTTGTGCCAGCACCCTCGCCTTGCTTTGAGCTAGGCAGTCGCAGGGAATTTGTTTATCCAAAGCCAAGATAACTTCTCGGCATGTGAGCACCTTCGTACATCGTCTGTAGATCAACAGCTGGCGTCTTTCTCGTTCTTGTTGATCAAACAAAGTACCATCTTCCTTGATGTTGTAGCTCCCAACTCTCAAGTGTTTGGCGACAATAAGAACGCCACGGGCAAATTCAAAGGCCTTTCTATTTTCTGGGGAGTTCAAGAGCAATGTGGTGGCTTTACATAAGCCCATGGGAATTGTGTGAGGGTGATCAACCACATGTGGGTGGTTCTGAAAGAGATCTTCTGTCAAGAAAGAAAAAATGAGGAGTGCAAACGCCCTTGATCGAAGATTCAGCCACTTGCTGTATACAGTAGTTTTGTCAGAGTCAGTGATTTGTCTCACAGTGTTCCTGTACAGGAATTCCGGTAGTTTCGTGTCGCCTCGACGTGGTACCTCACACTCGTAGACCATGGTCCTTTCGCATCTCCCTGGACTTCGAAAACTTCAAGCAGAAGTGTTTTGTGTGACTTTTTCAGGGCATGCTTGCTACGGAACTAACTGAAATACAAATTTGGCTAACAACCTATTGCATGGTCCGGAGGACCTTTGTCTAACAAAGACAAATCCGAGTACTTGAACAGCTCGGCAGTATACCGAAAATGAATTGCACGAGAAGAAGATTCATGGAGCGCGCCAGCTTCGTTGTCATACCGGTAGGAGGGAATGACACTCATAATCGTGTGGAGGTAGGAAATGCATCTGTGGTACCCCTACGGTACCAGTACATCCTACCTTCAAAGTTTGCATCGCTGTCTGCTTTGGTCCTCAGATGGGCTTCAGCTTGTCTCCCCGCGGCTCCTCCTTCCAATTCGAAATAATGTAATCCGAGTCGAGTCGGATTCGGAGATTCAACTCATTGGCAATATACCCCTCATTGCTAAAAAGTAGTCCCCTGACGAGCAACCATCAACCATTGCAAGATCTCCGCTATCGAATCCATACAGTGTACCGTACCGTTTGTCGACCCAGCAGGCCCATCGGAAGAAGATACAGTCAACAAAAGCCAAGGCAATGATCTTCACGAGAGACGACTTGCTCCTCCAAGTTTCCCAATGCCTCCGTCTCGTATCCCCGAATACCAGGATGATCCTTGGTGTGCGCTATTTGAGCTGATAAAAGAGCCGCAATGGCCCTTGCAGATTGCATTTGTGGTCTCAGGAATGAGGCACGGGACAAATGGCAGATAGCCCCGCAGGCATAAAGCTGAACTTTAGCGTTTTTTCGGATGATTCTCCATAGCCTGGACAATGGCTTGGATTCCACCCTCATCCAAGAGTGTGGATTGGCTTTGCACATCATGCGCCACATTGCAAAGGACTGCACAAGCTTGGCATGAACAATTGCTTCTATTGTTCATGCATCTAAAGTATCATCGCCGTTGTCGGCTGCATCCACCAGTTTTTCCAGCGCTTGTGTGAGCTTGCGACTGTTCGTGTTTCGGGTGTTTGCCTTGATAGCATCCACCAAAGGATGTTGGGGCTCGACAGAGCCCAATCGCGATGAGATGCTCCGAATCTTGCTGAGTATTCTTGTGGTGATGCGTGCCTTCGACGGCTTTGAGGTGCGCAGATGGTCTTCAGTCGGATGATTCCGAACGGTTTCATTCTGCTCCGGCGCAACGTCATCTTGACCAGGTGGAAGAGGTCTCATTCCCTGGAGAGGAACAGTGGCTGGTCTCGTCAATTGGTGTCATTGATTTGCCCTTGCTAACCTTTCCATCTGAATCAATCCTCCCCATGCCTTGGTTATCTCTTAACTGTGCTGGCTTGAGATTAATTGACGGCGTAGCGTGGATGGCAACCGGCGATCTAAACCACACGGAGCGCCCAAAGTAGCATGGATGGCAACCGAACCACGATAGAGTGGTAAAAGTCAACAACAGAAGGAACTATGGTCGTCGGGTCTAACCTGTAGTAGGGTACATTTGAATCGAATCAAACAGGCAAGATGCCAATGATCCTATTGATTGATTTACACTCTGTCTCGTCGACTTCGATTCGTTCAATCTAACCTTTCGATAAATCGTGGATTCGCAAGACTTTTGACTTCCTTAGCTTTTCGCAAGACTTATGCCAAAGACACTTGTTGTGCCTCAGCAGCCAATTCCATCTCTTCAGTAAGCTTGAAGGCAATATTGCGGTTGGAAAGGGTCGGATGACCACCAGCATGAATTGCAATCGCCCTGCCATGGTCCTCGACAGTCACCCCTTCAGGTTGGCCCTCATCCAGCAGAAACGTAAAAGAATTCATATCATACTCGATGTGGGGTTGCGTTGGGTCTGCAAAGGTGATGGTGCCCGTATAAATGTGAACCGCTTCTGGTTTGCCATAAATTCTTTTCAATTCATCAGCTGAAACGTTAAGCGGGCGTTTCGGGTTGCGGCTAACACTTTCTTTCGTTGGCGCTCTGGCTTGGTACACTGCAATACCAACCCGTATCCTTTTCTGGATAACAAACCAGGACGGACAACTTCAAAGGAATAATCCACATTTGTAACCCCCTCGATAGGAGAATCAATTTTTGTGCCAAAGGAAATGTCGAGACCGTACTCCCATGTGACCTTGCTGGAAGTACTAGTAGTCTCGCGCAGAGTGATCTCATCCGATGTTTCACACGTCCAGTTTGCGTCTTGAAAGGAGAGTTTTAGGGATTCGTGATGAGTATCCATCAGTCCCATGTAAACTCCTGTAACGTTCTTTTTAACCCCATTACCGTCAGAGCGACAACAATGATTGTGTTTGGAAGTAACAGGAATAACAGCATGGTGGGTTGTCCGTGACCCGGAGAACGCTGCAGCCTCCCACGTCGAAGTAGGCCAACCTGGCCATCTACCGTTTTCTTTTTGAAATTACCCTTGGCTACTGACATCTCGAATTCGACGTCGACCTCCAGGGGGAACGCTCTATCATGAACAATGTCGCCGAAATCCTTGCTGATGTGGCTCTCGTCGTCCACCCTCTTTCTCCTACTGTGACTCGGTCTGGGTTAACCAAAAGCTCTGCAGGGCTTAACATGGTCGTTCTATCCTGGCCTGTTTGTTTGTTTGTTTGTTTGCTTGTTTGTTTGCTTGCTTGCTTGTTTGGGCTGTGTCGTATTGTCTTGTGATTGATGTTTCGCTGGCTACGTAGTTAGTTGGTTTAGTTGGTTTTATGCATACCGGTATCGGTACCGGTACCGGTGCCAGTACCGGCACGGCATGTCCACGATCGCTGCCACACTAGATCCAAATTTCCACGCCATGGAGTTTAGCTCTATCCTTAACATTTCTCGTCGGTCGCCCGCCCGAAGCACGAAGGCCAAAACTTTGTGGTGCGGAAGACCGAAGACGAAGCCAGCACACAACCAGGTGGTCTTGTTGACGATGGACGAAGACAATGGCAAGAGAAGGCTCGACGGCAGCATGGCAGTATGCGAGCAGCAGAAGCGAGCAAAGCAACAAAGTCGTTCATTTCAAACATCACGAAACGATGCTTTAGAAGCAATTTCGATTATCTTGCAACAGCTCCAGTCTAAGACAAGCGACAAAAACAAAACACAAGCCGCAAAGGATCTGGAGAATATGTTGGCATTGCAGGAACAGGTGACTAAAACTATGAATCAAGTTGTCCAGGAGGCAACCACCAATCTCAAGTTTGCCCAGGAAGACTCCTGTTTACTACACAAAGATATCTGGGTCAACCAGATTTTCCCTTTTCTGGGCATGGGGCAATTTGCCTTTGTGGCACCTGTCAGCCACAACATGAAAGACCTCTACACAACTTACTGTGACACTGTGGAGGAGCCTCCAGAGGTTAAGGATGTTGATTATGTTTGGATACGTGGCTCCACAACAAAGACGAATACTTTCTGTAGTGCGATTGTCTCTTCCTTGTCGCGCACAGAGTATTGGTGCGCAGATCGGCAAACTGGACCCGGAGGGCATATTAATGACTCCCGCATCTGTGCTGCGGCTGCTAGGGTGGGGAATCTTCAAGTTCTTCAATTGCTCCGGGACAATGCGACAATACCATTGTGTACTGATTAATCTAACGATCTAAGAGATGTAAAGTTTGTATTTCCAAATAAGTGAGCAGTTATTGATTATTTTCTAGAATAAGCCTGCTAATTGTAAAGCTGTAAAGCTGAATTGTAAGCTGTATCCCGTCGCAGACAAGGGGTTCAATTGGGATTACCGCACATGCCAAAATGCGGCAGCATGCGGCCATTTGGAGATCCTCAAATATGCCCATGAAAATGGCTGTCCATGGAACATGGATATATCCTTTTATGCCGCGAGAAATGGCCATTTTGAAATCTTGAAGTATGCCCATGAAAACGGGTGTTGTTGGCATGCAATGACATGTATCCATGCTGCAGAGAATGGTCATTTGGAACTCCTGAAATATGCCCATGAAAATGGGCGCCCTTGGGATGCATATACATGTAGCTACGCTGCAGAGAATGGCCATTTGGAAGTCCTGAAATATGCCCATGAACATGGCTGTCCGTGGAATGCAAAGACATGCTCCTGCACTACGCTAAAAGCTAGTGTAAAGATCTTTCGAGTGTTTTGAGTTTGAGAGAATGAAAGTTATGAGAGGATTAGAAAGCTATGAAAACTAATCAACGAGAGAGATCCACAATCAAAGGATCGTAGATCGTGAAGTTGCCTGACATGGCTTCAATGGTGGTCAAACCTGTATTGAGCTGCTGCAGGGCCATTTGGAAATATTGAGGTATGCCCATGAACATGGCTGTCCGTGGAACGAAGAGACCTGCCAAATTGCAGCTGAACAAGGTCATTTGGAAATCTTGAAGTATGCCCATGAAAATGGCTGTCCTTGGGATGAGCACATATGCATGGATGCTGCTGAGAGAGGGCATTTGGAAGTGCTGAAATATGCCATGGAAAATGGCTGCTCGTGGAATGAAAATGAATTGTTGGATGTATGTCATGAGCGGGTGACAGGTTGGGTTCAAGACTTTCTCTCTCAGAGGAACGGCTAAAGTTCCTGTACTGGTAGCAAACTGTAAAGTAGTTTTTTACTTATTACGTGTTTGTTTGGTTATCCTTGTCAGTCCAAGGAAAAGGTTCGAAAAATAGTAGCTGTTTACATGTAGCTAGTCTAGCAATTCTGGACAGATGGCATTGTGCTGTTTTTGCTGTTGTCCCTCCAATTCGAATAGGATGGCTAGCCGAATATGCAGCCCATGCCAAGGACCAAACCTTGCCAGACCAATAAAGTCTAGATAGAATCAACCCTACCAACCATCTTGAGTGCAATATTAGGGTAGCCGTGCTCGCAAGGGTTTCTTGAAGGAACCGGCAAAGGTCAAGGCGGTTTGCGTCAGCGTGATGATGCAGTACCGAGAAAGCTCCATACGATCGATCGATCGATCAGGATCATATCGTGGGTTTCTCCGAACGAAGCGGTCAGAATGGGGCAAGCTTCCCGCACCGTCTTTTTGCCGAGCAGTGTCATCACTTCTTTCGCCCCGTGCGTCCACTGCAATAATCCCGTTGATGATGGCTGATATCGAAGTATCCATCAACAACTTGCGAACGAGGACCAAGGTCTTTTTCGACTCGACGTTGCCCTGGTGTGATTTGCAAAATTGACTGGCATCCATGCCATGCATTGTGTAAGGTTGTCTCAAACGTACCAACCGGTATAATAATGAAACGGACGCAAAGATTCGCGAGTGTTCTCCCATACCGTTCACGTCAGCATACCGTAGGAGCATTGTGGATTGGTAATATATAGCGTGGTCGAGACTCGACTCGAGTCTAAAAAGCCAAGCCGCTAAACCAATTCTGGTTGAGATGGGAACTATCAAACGGTGGTGGTGGTGGTGTTGCTGTCCAATGAATGGCTGCTCCTCTGGTGTCCGCTACAGTACCTGGTAGAGCGCATCCTCGTCATCATCGCCACACACAACAAACGGAGGATTTAATTTCAAGCAACTCGCTCGGCAAATTCATTGGTTCATTCTGATAATCTCCACTTGAAGAAAGAAAAGGCTATACTAGTAGTATCGCTTTGATGCTTCAGATAAGACGAATCGAATGTTCAATCGATTGTATCATTCGGCTGTTGGATGGCTCCCGACGGTGTTTTGGTGATGTTTGTGTGATTGTGTGCTTGACGCGCCTTGGTCACCGGTCCCACATTTTTCCACGCCACGATCTTTCGACCGACAGCCCCAAACGGTAGGATACCAGTAACGATCCAGCAACGGCAATACATACATCATCAGAAGCGATCAAGAGTCAAGAGTCTATTACCATACTAGCTAGTGAAGCGGATGGTGTAGCATTGAGAACCAGGTCCTTGGTAAAGGACAGTCACTCGCATCGTTACTTGCTACGGTACTTGCTAGGTAGCTCGCTAGAGTCGAGACCATCTATCTATTATCCAGAGTTCTGTTCTGTCAGTCAGTCTTCCTCTTGTATACCCTTTTCGGAATCAATCGTCAATCATCCATCTGAAGAAGTTTAAAGGAAGAAAGATGAGCTCTACTACTACCATGCCCACCAGCAATGGTGATAATAACATGCGATGATGACGATGATGGCTCTAATAATGTGATTATCTGTTCGTCCGAGTTTCTGACGGACGATGTGGGAGACGAACAAGTCCGTGCACTGGCGGCAGCGTTGGCACCGCAGATTCGTGAATTGGAAAATTTGATGGACGATCCTCTGTTTCGGTCGTCTCATGATGATGATAATGACCATGATAATGATCATCCCGTCAATACGAAAGAGTCTACGCCACAATCACTGAAACCACGTGATTCCAAAGTGGTCATTTCGGACGATGATGAAGACGATGAAGCAGCACAAACTCCCAAGAAACCAAACGCAGCACAACCAGCGGATGATACTACTACTATGATTAGAGATGATGATGATGACAGTGAAGCCATGATGGAAGGATTGGATGACGATGATATGGATCAGGAATTGGAACAATTAGCATTTGCCGAAGATATTTTGAGACGAGAACTCGATTTGGCCAAGGAATTTGCGTCTTTCTTTGGTTCTTCTCCCACACCTAGTTTGTTCTCTGCTTCTCCTGATCCCAGTGGTGCTCTCGCAGGAGGATTCCGCAATATGACTTTGGATTTCACTACCAGTACTACTGCTACATCTGCAGGGATTGCTCCCACCAGTCTATTTCATACCGCCGTCAGTGCACCCGATTTGACCACTGTCAAGTCCAAACCGGTTGTGGTTACCCAAAAAACAGAGGAATCACAGCTACCCATGGATACTACTACTACCAGCAACAACCCACAAGCAATAGTCAGTCCACCTTCCTCTCTGCAGCAGCCTTCAGCAGCAGCAGCAGCTCCCGTCGTCATTCAACAAATGGAAGCCGATTTGGATGGAGATGAAGACGACCGGACATGCTCGTCGAACAACAAGACGCCAGTACCAAAGAATTGAAAGAAAACAATACATCCTCCAAGTTTGATCCCAAATTGACACAACAGGAAACATTACATTTTGATGCCGAAGCCATGGAACATATTATTAGCAATCATCATCAATCGATTGGAAGTATTAGCCTCGATACGGTAGGAACGGCGCTGCAGTCCGCCAAGGATGCCGTGGCAGAAACAAACAACAACAACAGCACGAACCAACAACAACAAACTACAACAACTGTGCCACAAGAACCACCCAAAGAACCAGCGACTACTGTCGACCACCCAAAAAGCAATCCTGCCGTACCACCTACCAATCTTCTTCAACAACAACAAGAACAACAATACTAAGCACAGCAACAGCAACACAATACAAATACGCCACACCGCGGAGACGTCGTCATCATGATCTACAGGAACAAACACCCGCCACACCACAAACGTCCATTGTGCTTTGGAAGGCTCCTCAGTACAATTATACTTCCAATGATCATTTCAAATCACTACTCATCTGCAAGGAACCACAAGGGGCTTGGTATTCCGTAGATCTTACGGCACATCTCTTGGTACAACAACAACAGCACAGTGGTAGTGTATCCGATACCGGTAGTAGCACTACTTCACTGACCGAACACAACAACAACAACATATCCCATCGACGTAGGAATTGGAATCAAAGAGTATTGTCTCAGTATCACACAGTGGAAACGACTCTTTGTGGGACTCCGGGTAGAAGGAGACGAAGAAAAACAGCAAATCAGACGGCAACAGAA